TCCAGAATTGGTAAAAACGTTGCAGCTATCAGTCTCTTCTTCGAATTAAAAGAGAAACAAAGCCTATTCCTAAAGAAGAAGCCAATTTTCAGTCTGAGTTTCTTGATCAATTGGTCAACATGAGGTTTAAAATTAAGACTTTCATCATTTAAAATTCCTAAATATTTAAAAGATTGAACCCTTTCTATCTCTGACCCATCCAAGGTGATAAGAGGATAGCTGTTTTGCAATTTTGTTTTTGAAAATAACTCTTTTCTAGGTTTTTCCTTAGTTAAACCTTAGGTTTAATAAAGAATATTTAAAACCTTGCTGCGTTGCCCTTTTTTTAATTTAATTTCAAACTGTTTCATAAAATCCAAATAAACTGCAGTAATGTTTAAAAACTGTTGTAAAGTTAAAGGGGAGTATTGGAACGCAGCTCCTGTGCATCGAAAATGAGAATTATTCGGCCGCTAACTGCTAACGGTGTCAATGTGGCACAAAGATGGACGCCTGTTGTCAATCCGTGTCCAGTTGTTGGACTATTCATCCGTCAAACTTCTCAATGGAGCCAGACAGACAAAGCTCAGCCTGTCAGCTCCTGGACATCTCCAATCACTCTTTCAGCCACGGCTCCTCGGCAGCACTGTGAAAGGGATCCTTTATGGCAGACAGGCAGCAGAGAGGCGTGGATTAAGTGGGGGTCAGAGGGCTCAGTGGGTCAGTCAGCCAGCGCATTATCAGGCCTTTCCATCAGCTTTACAAATGGCCTCCTCAGGGTCTGCTTCTTCTCTCCTCGTCGTGTCAGGAGTGCAGTTTTTTTTTTTTTACCCTACAGAGGCAAAGAACGGGTTGAACCCTCATATAAAAGTTGTTTGACTGTGTTTTGTTTGGTTGTCACTGGAGCGTGTTGTAATAGGTTTACCGTTGGATAAGGTGGAGCGTTACACTGTGCTCTGCTGCCCTCTACAGGCTGGATCCACGGGGTTCTCACCTCTCAGGATTGCATGGCATTTGGAGGGAACTTCCTTCACAACCTCAACATTGGCATGCAGCTCAGGTTAGCTTCTCTTCAACATTGTTTCCTATAAATCATCACTTTCTGTATGTATAAACTAATTTGTTTGTTGTGTAGGTGTTATGAAATGGAGCGGCGTCTGAAAACCCCAGACCTCTTTAAGTTTCCCTACTTTGAGGCCATTTGTTGGTATGTGGCCAAAAACCTGCTGGAAATGCTAAAAGGTGAGCCCTTGATTCAAACCAGAAGGCCAGCTCTAGGTTTTTGTTTTCTTTTCATATTTTTATGGCTGAAATCTTGAATTATTTCAGATCTGCGTGAGGACAACTGTCCGCCACCAACCTACCTGGTAGATGGAGTCAGGGCTTTGATCAGCGCGCTGAGGACCTGGTTGAAAAGAGAGGTGAGATGCTGCAGCCGTCCTGCTCCTGTCCTGTCTGTCCGTCCGTTTGTAGAGGATGGACGTCCGTTTACGTTCGCTCTTTCTCCTCCAGGTGACGGAGCCCACCAGCGAGGTACCGGATCACATCCGGCCCAACCATCTCATCAAGGAGCTGACCAAGGAAATACGCTACCTGGAGGTAAGAAGGAACGAATCTACGGCTCCCAGGAGGCTAAATAGTTCTGCAGTTTGACTTTGAATCTTATCCCTTTTGTCGACCATTCATCCCTGCTCTCTTTTTATCCTTTTCTCTGTTTTTTCATCCCTCTATACCTTAGTTTTGCATCCGCTCTGTCTGCCTATTCATTTCTCTTCTTCTTTTCTTCTAAAAACTGTAGAAATTTAAAAGAACTCTTACACTCGTGTAAAAGAAAAATCTTTTTACTGGTGTTATATTATCAGATTAAACAAGTCATGCAAGAATTAATTAAATGTTGCTTGTTAGCTGCATTAAGGCGTCCCCTGCGTTTGCTCCTCAGGAGGAACCAGTGAACGGGAGCAAGAACACGAAATCTCAGGGAAGCGGAACGCTGCCTGGATTGAACGGCTGCCTCACCAGCCGGGCCCTGGAGAGGCTGTGCCAGGCGCGGCAGGCGAGGAGAGCCGCCAGGCGGCTTAGGGAGCAGCAGCAGCAGGCGCCAAAGATGCCCTCCAACCTGGACATCTTGGAGCAACACACCATGGAGGTGCTGAAGAGGGTGGAGGTGGGACCGCTGGAACAGGTGAGGATTTAACCGTGTCAGGATGTTTTATATCAACGATGAGCCGCTGCATCTCCTGCTGAAATGTCGCTTCCCTGTTGCTCCAGGATCCAGCGTTTTTCGCCAAGGTTCTTGGAAAGTTCAACAAAGTGTCGACGGCATCAGCAGCAGCTGCTGCAGAGTCCCTGGAAGACAACCACCTTCGCCTCATGCTGGTCAACGGCAGAATCATCCGGTAAGAGTTTCCTTTAAACTACTGGATACACGTCATGAAAAAAACAGCTCTCACTGCACGCATTATAAAATCCTCTTTTATTTCCTGCTTCCGGACACAAAGTTAGACCAAAC